GCCCGCCCCGGCGCTGCGTCTGGAGCCGCGGGGAGCGAGCCATGCCCGGCGCCCAGCCGTAGCCGCCGGGGCTCTCGAGGACCATGCCGCCCCCGGGCCGGGCGCCGCTGCTCGGGCTCCTGCTGGCTCTGGCTGCCCTGCGATGCTCAGGTAATGCGTCCGGGCCTCGGCCCCAGCCCCATCCCCGACCCCGCCACCGCCGCGTGCAAAGTTGGCTCCGCGGCGGGGCGGCTGCCTCCTCCTCCAGTCCTGGGCGGCTTCTGTCTCGCGGACTTGGGCAGATCTGGGGCGGCCCTGGGAAGCTGGAGACCCCCGGCGCGGGACCCCTCTGTTCAGCTTGAGAGCCTCGTCTCTCTCCGCTTCCCCGGATTCCCCGAGGATGCTTCCAGGGCGCGCGGGGGCAGCAGATGGGGTGGTGCACCCAATCTTGGGGGGAGGCCGGGGGCGCCCCAGGAGCCTTGTCTGCTCCCTGCCCCGCTGGGGCAGCCCCAGCCGCAGGTCGTAGTCCTGGGGTGGCTGGGCCGTGTGATCTCAGGACACCTGCGGGGCCTGGGGTTGGCTCCACCAGCGCCGCCGGGCTGACCCGAAGCCCCTCCCTGCGCTTCCTCACGCCCCTCTGTTGTTGCTGTCCGCAAAGGGACCCTTCCCCAAGTGGACCCTCTCCAAGCCCCCTGCCTACCTCTCGGAAATTGGACAGTCCCTACACCAGGACCCCAAGGCGGGCGGGACAGGGCAGCGTGGCCAGGCAGCCGGGGCGCGCGTGGGGCCGCCTGGAACACCGTGTCCAGAGCCATCGCCCGGGGCTGAGGAGCGGGCTCTCCGCCGGCTGCGCGCCGCCGTCTCCAACACCTAGCGCGCAGGGGCGGCAAAACAGGTATTTTCTGCTTCATCTGCTGGAGTTGGGGAACCGTGGGGCGGCTCCGCGTTGGTCCCCGGGAAGCTCGCGTCCCCGGGGCTGGCGCCGTCTCCCCTTCCCCCACTAGGAGCAGGGGCGAACGTCTTGGCTCTGCGAGGAGCCGGAGTAGTCGCGAGCATCGCTCATGTGCGGTGGAGAGCTCGTCGCTCCAGACCGTTCAGAACCAGGGCCCAGGATTTGGGGAGTAGGTTGTTTTTTGCTTTCGAAAACCTCGTGTCCCTAACAAACAGACCACCCAGACGCGCAGGATACTGTAGAGAAACACAAACTTTTACTTTGCAGCCCGCTGGCCCCCAAGGCTGTAGTTCTCAGCGAATCTGTGTTGTCAGCTCTGTGGAAAAGTAAACAGCGTCTTCTTCGGTGCTGCCCCAGGAAGACCCTCTGTGCCCGTGAGGTGGCCCGAGCGCCTGGCTTTGGCTGGTTCCAGGCGGTGGCGCCGAGGGCTTGGAGGCCGACCCAGCCACCGGGCCAGGGAGCAGGCAGAGAGCGGTTCTGGGTTTTTTTTGGCTTCGCCCAGTGGCGCCCCTGCGACAGGCTGCAAGGGCCTGCCGCCCCCTGAGGATGGAAGCCTCGAACCTGTTTCCCAGAGTGCATGGTCCCTCCAATTGGAATATTTCAGTGTTGTCCCTATTTTCCTTCTGGGGGGCGGGCAGTGTTGCCCTGGAGGTGCTGAGCGGCTGCTCTGGAGCTCTCTGGGAGAAACTGCCTGCCTGATGCTTGTTGTGCCAGACTCGGCTGATGTCCCCTCTCTGTCCCCAGCCAGTGGGCAGTGGCAGGTGGCTCTAGGGCCTGGTCCTGGGAGGGAAGGTGGGTCGCCTGCTGGGGCCTCAGCTGGACCAGTGCCACCAGGGCAAAGACCCCCGGCAGGGCTGTGGAGGGGTTTGAATATGAGGCCCCTGTGTGTGTCGCACCAGTCCCCGCCGCCGGGAACATAAAGACGCGGCAGTTTGATCACTATATATAGCACTCGCTCCAAAGCCAGCCTGAAATTGCCGAAGGGTGCTTAGCTGCCTACACTTGGTGGAGAGATCGGTGGCTGTAAGCGTGGCATCCTTCCGCGCTGGTGGGATTTTCCAGATAGTTGTGGGTGTCCCTTCCTCCTCTGGGCCCACAGCGCTGCTCAGGCTCCCAGCAGGGGCTGCGACTTCAGGGCTGAGGGCGTGCGCGCCGCCTGCCTGCTGCCTCACCACGGCGGCGCTGCCGCCTTTGCCCCCTTCCTGCGTGGGCAGTGCGCGGTGCAGTGTGGGGGGTGGACTTCTGCGAGCCTCGTGAGAACGGAGAATTGGCAAGTGAACTTGGTGAGAGCGGCACACACCAGCTCAGGGACCCGGCCGCCTATTCCAGCTGCTTTCGTCCCTGGCGGAGGGAGGGGGCTTTGCAGTGAGTGCTGTGCTTCTGTCCCTGTGGGCCAAAATGGGCCTGCCCTTGCCACCCAGGGTCTGCGGGACCGCGGCTGGAGCGTGTCCCATGTGACAGATGGGACGAGCTTGCGGGGGGGGGGTGCTGTTTGGAGCTCAGGCCGGGCTCTGCCTGGCATCCTGGCTGGGCAGCGGTGGTGCTGTCTCTCCTGGCAGTAGCTATCTGGGAGGGGCCTCGCCCAGAGTGTGGAGCTGCTCCTCCCAGAGGTGGCTAGGGAGGGGGTGGACACTGGTATGCAAATGCTGTCACCGCTGTGATTTAATGGTGGCCCAGTGGAGATTCCCAGAGTAAATCACTCACCACCCTGCCTCCCGCCGGATGCAGAGCCCCGGGAGATGTGGGCTTCGGCCTGGCTCCCAGGAGACACAAAGAGCCCCTGGGGCTGGAGTCGGGGAGGGTGGTCTCTGGGATGCCGGCCCCCAGTTTGGTGCGGCAGGTGGCTCCTTTTGGCAGGAAGGGGAGGCCTGTTTCCCTTTCAGCAATTGAGTCGCCTTGGGCCAGGGCATGGGGGCAGTGCTGGGGCCCCTGCTTCCTTAGGAGCAGGAGGGCTGCCTGGGTCTGAGCCCCTGGCCATGGGAAGATGGGGCCTGGGCCTGCTGGCAGGCTGGGGCTGTCTGTCCAGCTCTGGGCAGGACCTGGATACCTTGCTGGAAAAGGGTCCCACTGCGCAGCACTCATGGGTGGCCACTTCTTGGAGCCCAAGGTCACGAGGATGGGACCAGTGTGGCCCAGACAGCAGCAGGTGTCGTGGCCAGACACATGAAGAGTCAGACAGCTGGCAGTGACTGGGACATGTAGTGCCCTGGCATCATGGGGTCCTGCTCAGAGGGGGGCGCCCTCTGGACCTGCGCTTGATAGGCGAGGCCGCATTGTCCCTTGTCTGGTCACCCAGGTCAAGATTGCAGCCGGCATCGGTGTGTGCCACGCCTACCTGGGGAGACTCCACTCAGCGAGGGCGGGTGGGCTGGATCCAGCCTCAGCTGCAGGCTGGAGGCTCCGTGGCCTCTGGAGGCCTGGCCCCTGTCTGTCCACTACTGTGACAAAGGTCAGTGTGGCAGGAGCTGGCCTCTGTGTGAACAGGACAGGAGGAGGCCATTCCAATTTTGCATCCTCGAGGGACAAGGAGCGAGGCGTTGGAGCGGCCTTGACCGCTGCTTCTGTCCTGGTTTCTTCTCATGCGCTGGTCTTACTGTCTCATTTTTATTTTTTGTGGTACTACGGTACGAGCCCAGGGCCTTCACACTGAGCTGCACTTCCAGCCCTTTTTTTGTTTTGAGACAGGGTCTCAATTAAGTGGATAAGTTGCCCAGGCTGGGCTTGAATTCAGGATCCTCCTGTCTCAGCCTCCCAGAGGGCTGGGATGATGGGTGTGTACCCCCACCGTGCCTGTCTGTGTGACACTGAGGTTTGGGGGAGATTTATTTGATTGGTGACTTATTTGGAGTCCAGAGATGAAGAGGGAAGTCTCAAGTGGAGGGGAGATTGGTGCCTTGTGTGAAAAACCTGTTTTGGGGGAGTCCTCCTCACCCTGACCCTGGCCTGCTGACCCCGAAGGGGGACGTCCCGCCTGCCAATGTCCCTGGCTAGCTGCTGGTGCTAAGTGACTGAGGACTGTCAGTGTCACAGACCAGGTTCCAGCTGCCCTGAAGAAGTCAGCCTGGCCCCTTGGCGTTGCTGGACTCAGTTTCCCCATCTGTAAAGGGCCCTGAAACTCTTCCCCTGCAGAGAGCAGGGTGCAGGGAGAGTGTCACAGCCATTGCCTGTCACTTCCTACTTCTAGTTCTCTGGGCTCCATGGCAGCCTCTGAGGCTGAGGGCAGTGTGTCCAGAGGGGACACTGAGGCCCAGAGGGACCCAGGGGTGGGGCGTCAGAGGCCAGAGTGGCAGGGTGGGGTGTCCTCCTCTCAGCGCCTGCCCTCTGCCCTGCTGGTGCCTTCTGGTCCCTGAGCCTTGACTCAGGTTCCCAGGCCTCGGGTACCCAGGCCTCGGGCTTGAGATTCCATGACCTTAGGGTTTCAGGAGAGTGTGGCTGGGCGAGGACAGGTGGCTCCTGAGAAGCCCTGGAAACTCCGGTGCTCACTGGCTCCTCCTACTGGCCCAGGTGCCTTGCGCAGGGGGCCTTGTGCCGGGGGCCTAGTGGTGACCATGCAGGAAGGCTTCTTGGAGAAGGGGGCTCTTTTCTCACCTGAGACCTAAGTGACCAGAAGGAGCTTCCAGGGAGAAGGAATGTGAATCCTCACCAGGGCCTGCGCACAGCGCCTGGCCCGCCGCAAGCACTCAAGAGCTGCGGCCCCTGCACTCCTTCAGTCGTTTGCACACTCCTTCTTTCCTCCCTCCCTCCTTCCCTTCCCTCCCTCCTTCCCTCCCTCCCTCACTTCCC